ATGCTGAAAGGCAGCCAGCCACCTATGGCTGGGTAGGACACCATCCTTGAGAAGGATGTCACCCAAACCCGACTAGCTGTACTTTGCTAGGAATGCAAGACCCTTCATCAGGATACCTGGTGTAAGGATTGGCCCAGGAATTATTTCACCCTGTCTCTCAAGGATGTTCCTTTCTTTTAAAGCCCCAAATGATACATGAGAATCTCAGCTTTTTTAAAAGATTTATATAGCCTCCAGGGCACAAGAGTACAACTGGCCATCAGACTCAAAGAACAGGCTCAGTCTTTCATTACTGCCAGCCTCATCATGGGGGAAGCACCAACCCTGCTCTCAGCTCATGGAGCTGGCAATACCACAGCCTGGCTGGAGGCAGACAGATAGACTAGAGCCAAGGAGTTGGAAGCCAGCCTGTATTGAGAGGGCTCCACATTTGCAGGCCTGGATAGAGTAGCACCTGCCATCCTGACATAGTTCTCACAGTGGTAGGGTTGCTTTTAACCAACACCTCTCGGTTTTTAAGGCCTCTCCTGTTCTCCACAGACGATAATCATTCAGCTTGGGAACTCTCTTAAGTACATTTTCCTTTCAATGTTGCTGCATCGCATCAAGGAACAGACTCTGCTAACACAGATGACAGCAACACTTGTAGTGCAACCTCCCAGGCCAGTGCTGTTGTGCTCCCCTTCTCGTCCAGTCAAGCAGACTCGTGCAGCAGCCATTCTCTCAGCTGCTCCATCCTTGGAAGGCCTGAGCACCATTGGCAATCTATCCCCTACTGCTGTGCTAAGTCCACAGTCCTGCCCATCAAACCCTCTTCCTCATACACACTCTTTAATTAAGGCCACGTGCAGGTCCCTGCTCCTTGCACCCTCATTTCAGTACTTTGTGATGGGGATTTTTATTCTGGGTCTATACAGCAATGAACCCAAAGGGGACTAAGGAAACTGAAGCGAGCCCTTTAAGTGCCCCAGTTTACAAATGTTTATCATCACATACCTGAATCCATAAATCCAGAATAGCCTCCCTCCTTCTGTGGTGCTCTCCAGCCCGGAATAAAGGTAATTTTAGCCATCATTACATAACCTGGGAAACTTACTTAAGGCTAAAATAATACTGATACTGGATATGGCTTGACTGCAGTGGTGGTTTGGATTTGTGGTTGGTTTGGGTTTTTTTTCCCCCTGCTCTGTCCTACAGCACTAAGAGCTCATACAGCCTGCTGAAGATTCCCTTGCCACACTTCTATTATTTTACTTCTACAGTATTTTCTAACACTGATGCAATGACTTTCCTGTCTCTCATAGCTGTTGAAAGGACAGAGCACCACAGATCACAGCAGCCCTTTATTTAATGCCTTTTATGATGGAGTGACCACATCAGTGGACAAGGGAAGAGCTACCAATGTCATCTATCTGGACTTCTCAGGCCTTTGACACAGTCCCCCACAACATCCTTCTCTCTAAATTGGAGAGATACGGATTTGATGGGTGGACTGTTTAGCGGATGAGGAATTGGTTGGATGGTTGCATCCAGAGGGTAGTGGTCAAATGGCTCAATGTTCACATGGAAACTGGTGACGAGCGGTGTCCCTCAGGGGTCCATATCGGGACCAGTACTCTTTAGTATCTTCATCAATGACATAGACAGTGGGATTGAGTACACCCTCAGCAAGTTTGCAGGTAACACCAAGCTGAGTGGTGCAGTTGACATGCCTGAGGGGTGGTGTTCCATCCAGAAGGACCTGGACAAGCTCAAGGAATGGGCCCCTATGTACCTCATGAGATTCAACAAGGCCACAAACAGGGTCTTGCACCTGGGCTGGAGCAACCCCCGGTATCA